GACAGCTGTGGAGGCATCCAGTGCAGGACTGTCCCCATGGCCAAGCGTGCCCACCATGTCAAACCTCACAGTGCCCAGGGACCCTCTCCAGCCATGGGAAGGGCTCAGCTGTGGCCTCGCTGCCTGCCATGGGGCTGGGCTTTGCAGTGACTGTCCCCAAAGGTCCCCAACTCACCGCAATACCAGCCCTCTTTGGATATCTGTCTTCATTTTGTCAGTCAGGTGCTCCACATTGGCCTGCAAGATGAACACCAGGATGCTCTCCCAAGTCCCTCCGGTCCCCTCCACTGGACAGAGGCACCACTATGATCAACCCTTGGCCATGCTCCTCCAGCTCCTGCCCTGCCCTGTAGCTCTCCCTTCCTCCATTTTCCTTCTTCTTTTAGCCAGAAAGCCGCTCACCTTCAAGTCATGGATGGTGAAGGGGTCTTCGTAGACATAGGCGGCGTCAGCGCCCACGGCGATGCCAGTGACAGTCGACAGGTACCCGCAGTAGCCACCCATGGTCTCCACGATGAACACGCGGCGCTTGGTGCCTGAGGCCGACTGCTTGATGCGGTCACAGCTCTGCAGCAGGAGAAGGGGGGGTGTCACACCGGAAAAACCCACCTCTGCCTCCCAGGGCTGGGAGGTGAGCTGCCCCCAGCCTGGCCCTCACCTCCATGGCCGCGTTGACGGCCGTGTCAGAGCCCAGGCTGAAGTCGGTGCCAGGCACATTGTTGCTGATGGTGGCGGGGATGACACACATGACGATACAGAGCTCCTCGTACTGCCCGCGCGCCTCCACCAGCTGCAGCACCCCCTCGTACGCCTGCGAGCAGAGAGGCGGAAATGCCAGCCCCACAGCCAGATCCACATCCCAAAGGCATTCTTTTGGGATGCCTGCAGCCCACCCCAGCCCCCACCGAGCCAGGGCTGGAGGTCCCCCCACACCTCAAAGCCGCCGATGACCAGCAGGCCCTGGATGTTGAACTTCCGCACGTTCTCCACAATCTTTTCCATGCAGGTTTTGGGTAGCGTCCTGTGTTGGGGAGGGGGAGGAGAGACTGTGAGGGTGAGGATGGGGCTGTCACCTCCCCTACACCGCCCTGTCCCCTAGGACTGCACTCACCGTTTGGTGCCCAGCATGGACCCACCGCGTCCCAGCCATCCCGCCACATCGTGCCAGCCCACCTCGCGGATCTGCGGGTGGGATAAGGGGTGGAAGGGTGCTCTTCCACCCCTGTCCAAGCCCAAACCCACCCCCTGGGCCACCCCTTACCTGCCCCTTGGCCAGGCCCTCGAAGCCGTCGCTCACCACGTAGACGGTGTGTCCCTGGCAGATGCCGATGCGCACGGCCGAGCGCACGGCCGCATTCATGCCGGCGGCGGGGGCTCCCACGTTCAGGATGGCCATGCTGAAGGGGCTCTGGGGGACAGGGAGGGGCACAGCACATCCATGCGTGTCCCCAAGGTTGGGGGTGGTGTCCCCCAGTGCTCCCTATCTCCCCTCACCTTCTCCTGAGCTGGCTTCTGGTGTGCCAGCAGCTTGTAGATGTTCCAGTTGTTCTCGAAGCTCCTGCAAGCACATGGTGAGGTGTCCCCAAGGCATGTTTGGACCTGGGGGTGTGGGGGGGGAACACCCTTCTGGCTGCGGGAGCCACTTCTGACAAGGAAACGCCCCCATCCCATAGGGATGTCTGCCTCCATCCCCAATCCCTGCTGCTCACCTCCCACGGAGCTGGATGGCCTCCTCAAACCTCTTCTCATCCATGGCCTTCTGCACATCCTTTGTCTTGGGGGCAAGGCAGAGACACAGCACTGTGACACCCACACCTGTGGGGTGGGGAGTGGGACCCCCACACTGATGCCCCTGGTACTCACCACCTGGACACACTCCATGAGTGGCAGCCGTACCGACTGGTTCCCGGAGAGGCTCACCACACATGCTGGTGTGTCTGGCGTGGCCTCCAGCAGTGCCATCACCGCCTCCATCCCCATCTTGCTGCTCTGCAAAGGGACAGGGGCACCCGTCACACCGAGGCCACTGGAGCCAGCCAGGTGGGATGCTCAGAGATGCTCCCACAGGCTTGGAAACCATGTGGCTGCTGATTCACAGTCGGAGAGCTGAAAGTTTTACTTAAAAATCCATGAAATCTGCAGGAAATGATGGGGAACGGGCACATGGCTCTACCTGGCACAGCAGGGTTGAGCCCACCAAGCCTCATCCCGGGTGGCAAGTCCTTTTTCATGGCCAGAGGAATGGCAGGAACAGGGTTCCCCCTCTGCCTGTCCTCCCCCCGGACCTACCAGCACGCGGTCGAAGGCTGAGGGGGTCCCTCCGCGCTGCACGTGGCCGAGGACAGTGACGCGCGTGTCGAAGCCCAAGCGCTGCACCACCAGCTGCAGGGGAGAGGGGACGTCACACCGGGGACCCGTCAGTACCCGTGGGCGCCGGAGCAGGTGGTAGAGGAGGCACTTACGTCCTTCACGTAGTTGGAGGAGATGGGCTTCCCACTGCGGTCGATGGCGCCCTCGGCAATGATGATGATGTTGAGTCGTGACCCTCGGCTGCGTGTCTGGCACGAGGGGAGGGAACACCCGCCACGGCTTAGCCGAAGCTCCTGGTGGCCGTGTCCCAGTACCCTCCCGCCCCGCCGGCGGCTGCTGCCCTGGGGGTGGCTCAGGTCACGGGCAGCTGAGCCCCCGCCAGCACTGCCCCTGGCACGCGAGAGCTGGATTTGCGCTCGGCTGAGTGCCCCGGTTCACAGGACAATGCCGGCAGTTCCCGAAGCTTCGCGGGGGCCGGGCACCAGAGCAGGGCTCAGCCTGGGCTCCTGAGGGGAATCTCCATGGGGAAACAGGGGACGGGACTGTAGGAGATCCCCCTCACCTCCCCCAGCCTCTCGCACATGAGGTCCTCCCAGCCGTCCTCCGGAGGGGATTCAGGGATGAAGAGCCAGTCAGCTCCTGAGGCCAGGCCAGACACCAGCGCCAGGTACCTGGGGGGACACGGTGGTGGCAGCCCTGAGACACGACCTCCCTTCCCACCGAGGGGCTTCCCTGCCCACGGGGCCTTACCCGCAGTGGCGACCCATCACCTCCAGCACGAACGTCCGCTGGTGGCTGCAAGGACACGGGTGGGAGGACAAGGAGTCAGCGTGATGCCCTGGGGTGGCCCAGCACCCGCCCCAGCGCCCGCCCTGCTCACCTCTGTGCCGTGGTGGTGATGGCGTCAATGACCTCCATGATGCGGTGCAGCGCTGAGTCAGTGCCGATGGTCATGTCGGTGCCACAGAAGTCGTTGTCAATGGAGCCCACCAGCCCCACGATGTTCAGGCGGCAGTTCTGCCGCGCCACCTCTTCGCTGATCTGCCCTGGGGGGGGAGTCACAGCCACCACACCAGTTATTTTGGGGCTCTCACATCCCCCCCATCACCAGTGGAGTAGCGGGGGAGCCCAGCCCTCCTCGGGGTCACAGCAACGGGGTGAACCTCTGGACCTCAACACCCCTCCGATGCCTTCTGTGCCCACCCAGGGGGTTTAGGAGGGAGCTCACCCACCATCTCGAACCAGCTCGTCCAGCAGCCCAGCCCACTCGGAGCGGAAGATGTCTGCGCCGGTGAGGCTGCCGTCGCCGCCGATGACGCACAGGTTGGTGATGCCGTGCTCCACCAGGTTGCGAGCGGCGCGGAGCCGCCCTGCACGTGTTGTGAAGGCCTTGCAGCGAGCACTGCCGATCACCGTCCCGCCCTGGGTGCACAACAGAACATGGCTCGTCACCCGAACTTGGGGAGGTGGGATCTGGGGGTCCCACGGCCCCACCAGTGACCCTCACCAGCTGGATGATGTTGGAGACGCTGAGCCAGTTGGCTTGTTTGATGTTGTCGCCCCCCTCCACCAGCCCCTCGTAGCCCTGTGGAGAAGAGCGTGGTGGAGGTGAGGGGTACCCTGGCACAGGGGGGTGGGTGCCCCCCACATGTGGCAGGGAGCAGGGGGGTATTCCAACCTCATAGATGAGAAACACCTTGGCTCCCACGTATATCCCCATGCGGGTGACAGCACGGACAGCAGCGTTCATCCCTGGAAAAACGACATGTGAGCAGGGGCATTCCTGTGGGATCCCATGCCTCATGGGGAATGGGATCCTGTAGGTGACCCTGAGGTGTCCCCTAGACTAGGGTGAACCTCGTGGGACCCTGAGCCCCACAGATTGGATCCTGTAGGTGACCCTGAGGTGTCCCCTCGAGAGAGTGGGACCCACATGGGCTGAGGACCGGGGAAACTCGACGCACGGGTGGGAGCTGTGGATGAGCAACTGGCCGGGACTGAGTTGCTTATCTGGGGGGAGACACATCCGCCCTCCGTGAGGCTCCCCCCGAGGGCCCGCGTGATGTCCCGGGGGCGATGGGGATGGGGAAGCGCCGCGGGCGGGACCATCCCCGTGGGGGGCACACGGGACGGGAGTGCCCCATCCCCGCGCCCCGGGGCACAGCGCGGGCCGTCGCCCCGCGGACTCGGGCCCCGGGCGGGCACGGACAGGGACACGGGCACGGACACGGACACGGGCACGGACACGCGGGGAGGCCGCGGCCCCCGGGCCGAGCCCTTCGGGCCGAGCCCCCCGCCCCGCCGGGCGCACCTTGCGCGTCGCCGCCGCTGGTGAGGACGGCGATGGACATCCCGGCCCCCGCCATTCGCAGCCGCTCCAGCTCCGCCGCCGCCATCGCTGCGCTCCCAACACTGGCAACGCCGCCGCCGCCCCGCCCCGGGACACGCAGGGACCGGGGACACGCCCCGGGACACGCCCCGGGACACGCAAGGAGGGGGGACACGCCCCAATTGGGGGACACGCAGGGAAAGGGGACACGCCCAGGAACACGCCCCGGGACACGCACGGAGCGGGGACACGCCCAGGGACACGCCTCGATGCGGGATACGCTCCGCCCCGGGACACCTATGGCCCACGGGACACGCCCAGGGACACGCCTCGACCGGGAGGACACGCTCCGGGACACGCCCCGCCGCCTGGAGCAGCAGACAGGGTGACACGTCGCGCCGTATCGCGACATAGTGCGCCATGTCGTGCCGGACCGTGGGGATATCCCGCGCCACCCCATCCTATGTGAGATGCGTCCCAGAGTCCTGAGGGAATCGGCGGATGGAGCTGCCAAGCCTCACTCCAGGTTGCTGGAAAAGCCGTGGCAGGTGAAGTCCCAGGTGACTTCGAAAAGGGAGACATTGTTCCCGTCTTTAAAAGGGGTGGAAAGGAGGAGCCTGGGAGCTTCCGCCCCGTCAACCTCTGTGCCTTGGAAGGTCATGAAACAGACTCTTCTGGAAGCTCTGCTGAGGCACAGGGAGGACAGGGAGGGGATTCGGGACAGCCAGCATAGCTTCACCAGGGTAGGTCTTGCCTGACCAACCCAGTGGCCTTCTGTGATGGAGTGACTCCATCAGTGGACAAGGGAGGGGCTACGGATGACATTTATATGGATTGCTGTAAAGTCATGTATCTGGATTCCTGTAAAGCCTCAGACATGGCCCTCCACAACATCCTCTCTGAATTGGAAAGGAAAGGATTCAGTGGGTGGACTGTCAGATGGATAAGGAAGTGGTTGGATGGTCACATCCAAGAGTTGTAGTCAATGGCTCAGCATCCCAGTGGACACCAGTGGCCAGTGGTGCCCTCAGGGTCTGTACTGGGACCAGTGTTATTTAGTATCTGCATTAATGACACAGACAGAGGGTCGGGGACACCCTCAGCAGCTTTGCAGGTGACCCCGAGCCGAGGCTGCAGTGACGCACCTGGAGGACGGGGCCACCTAGAGGGAGCTGGACAGGCTCCAGAATTCCCTTGGGAATCTCCTGAGGTTCAACAAGGCCAAGGGCTGGTGCTGCACCTGGGTCGGGGCATCCCTGCCATCAGTCCAGGCTGGGGATGAACAGATGGAGCAGCCCTGGGAGAAGGCCCTGCGGGTGCTGGTGGGGCAGAGGCTGGACATGGCCCAGCCCAGAACCCCCCGTGCCCTGGGCTGATCCCCCAGCGTGGGCAGCAGGGCAGGGGGGGATTGTGCCCCTCTGCCCCCTCAGGGGAGACCCCCCTGCAGAGCTGCCTCCAGCCCTGGGGAACAGCACAGCAAGGACATGGAGCTGCTGGAGAGAGTCCAGAGGAGGCCCCAAGAGGATCAGAGGGATGGAGCAGCTCTGCTGGGAGGAAAGGCTGGAGAGTTGGGATTGATCAGCTGGGAGAGGAGAAGTTTTGAGTTGACCTGATTGTAGCCTTGCAGGGCCTGAAGGAGCTACAAGAAAGATGGAGAGAGACTATTTCCAAGGACCTGGAGTGAGAGGACAAGGGAGAATGGTTTCCCACTGCCAGAGGGCAGGGTTAGATGGGATATCAGGAAGGAATCCTTGGCTGTGAGGGTGGGGAGGCCCTGGCACAGGTTGCCCAGAGAAGCTGTGGCTGCCCCATCCCTGGAATAGTTCATGGCCAGGTTGGACGGGGCTTGAAGCAACCAGGTACAGTGAAAGGTGTCCCTACCCATGGCAGGGGGTGGAGTGAGATGATCCTCAAGGTCCCTTCCAACCCAAACCAATCCCTGATTCCATCACTGCATGCCATGCTGTAGCAGACTATGTGATGCTGTTCCGTGCTGCCCCAGGCTGTGCCCTGCTCTGCCAGTGGGACCAGCTGGAGTTTTTCTATGAAGTTCATATTTTAGGAATTTTAATCAATAGCTGTTTTAGGTGTAATTAGAAAAGAAATGAATGGAACAAGCCCTGCCAGGGATTTCTCTTCCCACGCCTTGAGCTTAGGTCTCTCAAGTGTCACCCCCTTCCACGGATGGGGGTCTTGCTGTTGGATGCCCAGTCCAGGCCTGGTGGGTGCAGCCTGGTGCTGTGAGGCTGCTCCCTCCATCCCTCCCCCATTCCATGGGAATGGTCGCCATCACTGTGTCCCCACTGGTCTCCCAGGGGAGTGGGACGGACCCTGTCGAGCCAAGGGATGGGGAAACTGAGGAAGGCACTGGCTGCTCGCCCAATTCCCTCTGTCCCGAGGTGATCTTGGAGCCTCATCCCGCATGCCGAGGCGCTGCAGGGCCCGGCATGTCCGGCAGGGAAGGGGTGCGGGTGGCTCGGGTGAGGAAATGGGAGAGACCTGGCTGGAGTCCCGCTCTCCTCCCACAGCCCCACCTCCCCGGCCGGCTTAACATCCCATGGGCCAGCCTGGGGCCACCATTCCGTGCCCACCGCTGCCCCCACGCCGAACTCCCGGCCGGGCCAGCCGCGGGGCCACCGTCCTTTCCCCATTCCCGTGCCCGTCCCCGCGATGCTGCGGCTACTGCTGCTCTGGGGGGCCCTGGGCTGCGGGGCGGAGCAGGCGGGTAAGGCAGGGACACGGGGACCGGACAGCTCGGGCTTGGCGTGGGGGGGACGCGGGGCTGGCGGAGGGTGGACACGGGGCTCGCGGGGCTGACGGGGTGGTAGGTGATGTCCCACGTCTCCCGCAGCCCCGCTCACCTTCACCATGGTGCACTACACCCGCGTCTTCGAAGGCAATTCCCTCTTCTGGGGGAACGCCAGCCTGGACGGGCGGCTCAGCCACGTGCTGGAGGGGCACAATGTCACCCAGGTGCTGCCGCTGGAGCCTCCGGACGCCTGGGCACGGCGGCAGAAGGACGTGAGCACCTACCTCAGCTACTTCAGCGACCTGGTGAAGCTGTTCAACAAGGAGAGACCCATGGACTGTGAGTGCTGCCCGGGGGGCACTGGGGCAGGGGAACACCCCCCCCCGCGCTGCCAGGGCATGGGGATGGCTCTGCGGGGACAGGTGGGCAGAGGGATGGAGACACGGCCATGTCTAAAACCTCTCTGTGGGCAAAGGGAGCCCTTCTGTGGAGCCGGGAATTTCTTATCCAGAGCCTGCCCAGGGAATGGGGTGATGCTCAACCTGCTGCTGCTCCTCGGGAAAAGGGCTGGGACTGCAGCTGGGGGAGATGGTGAGGTGCAGGCACCCTGCCTGCATCCCAGCTGTAACCCACCTGCACCCTGCCTGCATCCTGCCTTCTTACTGCCTTCATCTCACCTGCACCCTGCCTGAATCCTGCTTGCTTTCTGCCTACTGCCTGCCTGCTCCCTGCCAGCATCCCACAGCTTTCCAGGAGCCATGGGATGCTGCCAGTGACGGTTTTGTGCTCCTGCACCTCTCCACGAGCCCGGTTTGCTGCTCCTGCCCAGGCTGTGCTTCACCTTCCTTTTCTTCCTTACCCCCAAATCTGTTGCTCCCCAGCTCCACATTTCTGCACCTGCCCCTTGGGGAGCCCTGTGTCCCTGCAGAGTCTCTGGTGTGACACCCACACACTCTGGTGTCCCCCTGCTCCCTGGGTGCATCCATCCCGGAGAGCAATGAATGTGCCAAAACACTCCCGTCTCCATAAAGCCGGAGCTGTGCTGTTGGGAGATAAGGGAGGGAAAATAATCCCAACTGCTGGAGAAGTCACGGAGGGGGAGCAAAGCCACGGGTGGGTGGCTGTTGCAGAGCTGAGGCTGTGTGAGTGCAGGGCATGGTTTGGGTGGGGCCTGGTGACCCCGTCTGTCTCTCTGTACCTATAGACACCCAGAGGCTCTGCTGCCGCCTCGGTTGCCACCTCTTCCCCAATGGCACATCTCACAGCTTCTACGAGGTAACCCTCAATGGGACGGCCTTCCTGAGCTTCCACGTCCCCAACGCCACATGGCAGCGGCACTGGCCCGGCCGGCACCAGGTGGCTGCCTTTGCTGAGACGGAGCTGATGAAATACCCCATAACCACCCATGACCTCCAGCACTTCCTCAACACCACCTGTGTCAGCATCCTGCAGGCTCAGAGCGCTGGGACAGGTCTGTGCTGGGGCTGGGGCTGGGGACGTGGTGGGGTGACCCTGGTTGTCACCTCTGTCCTTCTCGGCTCTTGCAGGAAAACTCAGCGGGCGGTCGCGTGCTCCGCTGGTGCTGGGGCTGATCCTGGGGACCCTCTGTTTGCTGGGCGTGGCTGTGGGGATCTTCTGGTGCACGGGAGGGAGCTGCTAACGGAGCTGGAGCTGTCCTGCATCACCCCATGGACACAGGGGATGGACCCATCATCTCCCTGTGGATCCACCATCTCTGTTTGGAGGCAGAGGATGGACTCATCATCTCCCTGTTGATCCATCATCTCCCTGTGGAGGCAGGGGACAGACCCATCACCTCCCCATGGACAAGGCAAGGGATAGATCCATCATCTTCCCATGGATCCAGCATCACCCTGGGGAGGCAGGGGACAGACCCATCATCACCCTGGGGAGGCAGGGGATGGATCCATCATCCCACCAGAGAGACCATCATCACTCTGTGAATCCATTGACCAAGCTGCTCCCCTACAAGGGATGCACGTCCCCAGTGCCACAGGCTTTGCTCCCAAGGGACACCAGTGGCTTCCCTGACCCGTCCCAGCTGGACTGACCCCCCCAGCAGCCCTTGCCCCGGGGATGGTCCCCATGCTGGGTTGGCACAAGGTATTGAAACTCCACAGAAACACACTTGGCACAGATGGAAAAACTGAGAAAAGGGGGGTGGTGGGGAAAACAGCAAGAGAAACAGCCAAGGAACAGTTAAAAGGGTGGAGTTAAATCCTCATCTATCCCTGTTCCAGAGGGGATGGAGGGAGAATGTCACACCTCATGTAATAAAAGCACCCATCCGATCTCACCACAGCTTTGGCTGCTCTCATTCCCCCCAGCAGCACCAACGGGGGCTGTGGATCCATCACAGGTCCATCATGGGCTGTGGATCCATCATAGGCTGTGGATCCATCATGGGTCCCTCACAGGCTGTGGCTGCTGGTGCCAGTCCCAGTGTCTGACCCTGAGCCGTGCACTGAGTTTTCCAAGCCTCTGGAAAGAAGCTGTTGGTGTTTGCTGGAGGGTTTTGCAGCTCCTGAGCTCATTTCAACCTTTTCCCAGCTTTGGTTTGACTCAACTAAGTCATTTGCCCACTGTTTTTCATTCCAAGGCCAAGCACAGACAGCTGTGAGGGCAGTTTTCCACAGTCCAAATCCCAGCTAAAAACTCCTCTTTGACTGTTTAAACTTTGTTTGTATCAATAAATTCTTTCACCCGGAGGAAGATTTTGAGCTCTCCTGCTCATCTCCACCTCTGCAAGGACAGGAAGGGCTGGAGACGAGCCAGGAGCTGGCTGGGGACACTGTAAGAGGGGATAGTGCAGGAGAGACGAGCTTTCCTGGATTAACTTCCAGCTCTTTCTTTTCTAAACACCCTCTGAGCAAGAAAGGGTGGGATGGGGGAAGATGGGAAAAGAGATGTGGGACAGAAGAGATGGGGAGATGACCCTGGGGATTGTCCTCTAGCAGGGATGGAGGAGGAGGTGCCCCAGGCCCTCATCTCATCACCCTGGCCCACGGCCATCCCTGAATTAGCCCCCGCCTCCCCAGGCTCCGGGGACAGGGACTGGTGTGTTCCCCACCCTCCGGAGGCTCCAAGAGGCCGGAGAATCCAAAACAACAGTGCTGAGGTACGTGAGCATCATCGCCCTTGGCAGGAACTGTGCTGAGGGACAAGCACTGCCTGTCCCTGCCATGGGCATCCACGGATGCTGGAGGTCACACACTGGGTTTGCTCCCCGTGGAGGGATAAAATCCCTTCCAGCCGAGAGAAACGGCCACATTCCCAACTCTGCTTCAGGTTTTGGACTAGGGGCATCTCTGCTGCCTGCATGTGTTGCACTGTGGTCCCCAAGAGCTGGAGGGATTCTCATTCCCAGTCCCTCCACCCTGGGCTTCAGCTCCTTGCTCTGGCTGCAATGGAGCGGTTGGACAGCCAGGCTGGCACCCAGGACACACCCAGGCTGGAGAAACCAGGGAGGTCTGGAACAGCAGGTCTTGTTTTGCTTTTTGCTTCTGAAGTGCATCATCTTTTGGACAGATGAGGAAGTCTCCACTTGGAGCAGCTCTGGAAAAGCCTCTTTCCTGCTCCAGGGCCCCCCTGTGCATGTTGGTCGCAGCAGGAGAGCACTCCAGGAGCCAACTCCACTGCTGGTCTGGAGTTCTCACAGGGAGATGGGGCAGCACCTGGCAGGGGGAAACCCCCAAACCTTCAGGACCCCAGGGAACAGCCTCACCTCGATCCCTGTCCATGGGCAATGCATCCAAACCTTCCACCCCCATCCCTTCTACCAGCACTGGTGTCCCACAGGGACGTGGTGATCAACAGCAGAGGGGTTGTGGTGGCAGCACCCACTCCCAGCACATTGTAACTCCCAATTTGTAACCCCAAACTTTCTCCTTCTCATCCCAAACCTCCCAAAATTTCTCTTCCTCATCCCCAAACCCGCAATTGCCTCATGGAGGGGCCACCAAAGTTGTGACAAGCTGGGGACATGTGGCCTGGCTACTCCAGAACTGGGAGCTGGGCTCCTGTTCCGTCACTTTTCCAACAGGGGATCAGCTCCCTGGCAGCTGGTAGTCACATGCATGGCCCATCCTTTCCCAGATTTGGCTGTTCTTCCACCCCGGATCCCAGCTCGGGATTGCCACCAGCATGTCACCACTGATCCTGTCAGCCAAGGGGGGTTTCCATTTGCTCCTCAGGGGTTTTTCGGGTCCTGATTTGTTCTGCACACAAACCTCTGGCAGCTTTCATCAGCCTCCAGAGCGAAGCATCCTGCTTTTCCACTGGGATTGCCGGGCAAGGCTTTGTTTTCCATGCATGGTTTCCATCACTCCGCTATTGTGCCTTGGATAAGGGCTCAGATAAGACCTTGATCCTTGATCCCTGCTCCAGTCAGACCAGTGAGGCCATGCCCATGTGCCAGGAAGGAGCTTTTCCCTTCGTCCCTATCCCATGGGAGACTTGGATGGGGTGGGAAGGTCTCCCCCCACCCCCACATTCCTTTTTGGACATCAGCTCCCTCTGCAAGGTCGGCACCTCCATCCATGTCCTTCAGGAGCCTCCATGCCCCTGGGACAAAGGCTGGATGACTCCAGGAGCTGCCCAAACCTCCTGTGCCTGCTGGCGTGGGGAGGGGGAGAAAAGTGAGGCTGATGGGATCCATCTGGAAGGAGGAAGGGATTATCCCTGTAAACACCTCTTACGTACTTGGAGCCTGCTCTGGTGTCATTGTGGCTTTTCTGGCCTAAACAAATCATGTCCTTCCAGATTTCCAGAGGTTACAGTGTCATAGCCCCACATGTTTGAATTCCTGGCTTTGGGACATCCTTGTTAACCCCAGGGGCTCCACTGGGGTGAGGGGATCTGCTTTTTTGGGAGGGGATGAAGCCCCCACAGGCTGCCCTCTCCCTGGGCAATCCAGTAGCAGGGGAGCTGGCAATGAGGGCTGCTGGCTTAGGTTCCAGTGAGGAATCATGGCCTCACCTTCCCTTCCCAGCTGGAGGCTCCCATGGCAAAGCCATGTGCCCTCAGAGCAATGTTCTCCTGGCATTAACCCCCTCCCCCTCCTTCCCTCCCTGCCCGGCTCCGGAGCAGAAAGGCTCACATAAAAATAAGGACTCAAAAATAACAAGACTTTTCTTTGGAAGAACCCAAGCCTGGGTTGTACTTCCAGAGGAATTCCTGTAGGGAAATGGCTGTTTGGGAACCCTATCAACCCCTTCCCAGACTCAGGAAGCCCCTGCATGGCTGAAGCCAAAGGGGAGCAAACTCCCACCCCTCAGGATCCCCACACCGAGGGCTGGAGCTCCTTGGAGCGGCCCCAAAACCTCAGCACCTCATCTTGGATGGGGAGTGTGGCTTTAGGTGAAGCCAGCCAGGCTGTGGATAAGGCTGCAGGGAATGATGGAAAAGTGGATCCGAGCCCTGTTTTCGCCCTATCATCAACCTGGTATGGAATCCTCATCCCATCTACTCCTTCTCCTCCCCTGGGATGGGAGGGATCCATCCAAAGGGTGGGAACCCAGCGCCGATGGAGGTGATGACATCTAAAATCCAGCCGGCAGTGAGGCCCTGGAGGTGAGGAAAACCATTCCCTTCAGGAATAAACCAGGATCCCATTTCAGCCAGGCCTCCCCAAAGCAGCAAGGGACAAGTGTTTTCCTAGGAGAACTGAAAAACACGCCTCTATCTGAACCCCCACAATCCTCACATTTAAGGTGAGATCTAGGGTAAAAGAGGACCAGGAAATTAGAGTTTATTTGGTCCAATTTGGGAACAGCATTACATAGAAAGGGCTGGAAACCCTGGCTGTGCATGACAGAATTCCCAGCTTGGAAATTTGCACTGTCCAGATTCTCGTTTGGTCCCTGACCAAGATGGGAACACATAAAACCCCTGGGAAGCATTTATATGGATAAAAGATCCAGAAACCTGTGGAAATGTTTGAGCAAGCACTGCTGTTGCTGCTGGGAAAAAGCATGGAAGCCCTGGAAGCTTTGGAGGCGGGAAAGGCAGAGGACAACCCCCACAGTGGGAGGGAAAGGATGGAAGGAAGCAGGGTTGCCTGCTTGGAATTTGGGGCTTTTATTCCTGTTTTCCTACGTGCTGCTGTACAATTCAGGGCTCTGCAGCCATTGTTGTGTTCCCCGAGGAGTCCAGCCCCACAGTGCCATAAAAACAAACCACAGGAAGGAAAGGGATTAGCAGGGAAAGGAAAAGCAGCAGCAGGAACAAGGAGCCAGACCCAAAATAAACCCACTGGCTGCTGCTGGAGGTGCAGGTAGGAAAGGTTACACCTTCTCCTGGGGGAATTTGGGACTTTGTAGTGAAATCCCAGCTTTTTTGGGTTTGTTGCTACAGGTGAGCACCGGTAGCAGGGTTGCAAGGGCTGGGATAACGGGAATCAGCCCCGTGCACAGGGATATAGGAAGGAATATATTTGAAATCGGAGGCTTCCTAGAAATCTGAATTGAAGGGGAGTAGAGGCAGAGCTGCCCTGCAGCACCTGGAAAAAGGCTGGGCAGCAGTGGGCAGAGGGAGCAGCCTCAGCTGGGAATAACATCTTATCCTCAGGGATTTTGAGGAAGACTGGCAGGGAGTCCAGGGGTTTGGCATCCCGGGCTCCTCTCAGCTCCCCAGACCCCGCTGGGCTCTGCCAAGGCAAATGGACAAAGGATCCAACAGGAAAACTTCCCAGTGCCGCTGCTTCCGCTGCGTCAGCTCCCGCTGGAGCCGATGGCTGGGTGGGACGGGGCTGGATCCAGGGACACAGGGGCTGGGCGGGGCTGTTCCCACCTCACCGCGCTCTGCCAGCTCCCAGTAAGGAAAATAAACAACAAACAGAAACTAAAACAACCTGGAGGCTCCACCTGCTGCTCCCCACCAAACAGTTCTATCTGGAGGCAAACCAGATCCCATCCACTTCCCGAAAAAGGGAATAAGGTGTAAGGCAGCAGCTGGGAGGATCTCACTTTACAGCCCCCAAGAGCGCTGAGGGAACGGGAAGGAGGGTGGAGCCAGGTGGGGGTCAGGCTCTTCTGCATAACACGCAACAGGAGAAGAGGAAATGGCCGCAAGTTGCTCCAGGGGAGTTCAGAGTGGATATGAGGGGGAAATTCCTTCCCTAAAAGAGTGGCCAGACATTGGAACAGGCTGCCCAGGGCAGTGGTGGAGTCCCCACCTCTGGAGGGATTTGAAGAATGTGGCACTTGGGGACATGGGGCAGTGCTGGGGGGACGGTTGAACTCGATGGGCTTGAGGGGCTTTTCCAACCTCAGTGACTCCAGGATTTCTCTTGCTGCTTCCAAGAGGGAAGCACAGGCCTGGCTGTCCCAGGGAAAGGGCTGTGGAAACACATCACCAGGGAGGTTTTGCCATTCCAACTCAAACACACACTTTATTTTCCATCAGCCTGTCCCGTCCTCACAGAGGACAGAGCGCAGGAGGGGAGAGCTTTTCCAGTAAATGCTGGTTACATGTGGGGGAAAAGAGGGAGAACCAAGGCCATGAAGCCATTCCCAAATCCCACCATGACCCAGGAGTCTTTGCTAAGCTGGAGCAACCTCCAATTTCAAACCAAGTGATGATTTTTGGGACAACAGGACTACTTGGTAGTTAAGAGAGTCCACAGGGCCTTAAAAGACTATTCGCTCCTTTTCCAACCATTCC